GAGCTGGGCATGGGACAACTCAGGACACTCCACAGGCCTATGGTGTGATGGATCACCTCCTCCGCAGACTTGGGTCCAACCAAACGCACAGAGGCAACACACATGCACTGTAGAAAATATGAAAACAAGGCAAAGCAGAAAGACAGGAAAATCACCCTTAATTCCACCATGCAGAAGCTGTCCCTCTAATATTTGGTTTATTTACTCCTGGATGATGATGAGCATTTAAAAGAGTGCAATTATCCCAAATGAACAATTTTATACTCTGATGCCTCAGTGTTATTATAAAAGAAACATGTTTAATATTATTAAAAGGCTTTATAAACGTATGTTTAAATGCCTACAAATATTTCATCCAATAGAGAGGTTTAAACATTTAAAAGCACAAAGTCACATGTCATGAGTGAATTCAGAGCCCACACGTACCCATGGACAATCCTGACCAGGGCTGCCTCTGGTACCAGGATAAGTACCACGGAGAGCGCTGGTGCACCTAAGCAGGGCTGGGAACACTGCCAGGTTGGTCTGAAAGCCTGAAAGGCAGACTGTTCTTTTCAGGAAGTGCACATTTAGCATTTCTGAACCACTGTGATCCTGGGTTTCCGTTCTCCACCCGCCAGCATGTCCCAAGCTGGTACCATGTGCCAGGAGCCTGGGATGTGAGGATAACTGAGTTGGACACTTAGGTGACTCACCCGAGGGGTAAAGGATGGCTCAAGGTCACACAATGAGGAGGGAGGACCCAGGGCTTAAACTCCCATGCCCAGCCCATGCGCTGTCCCTGTTGCTAGGCCTGCCTGCCAGTTCTCGACTATGCAGCAAAACATGGGGCATCACAGGGCCTCTGCACTCTGGATAAGCACCGTGGCACATGTTTCTGAAACAGTCCTTCTGAATTCATGAAAACTTAGGGTGGGCGTTGCTTCCCCAAGACACTGCCGGTGAATGTGAGACACGTGAAGGACTCTTCCCTGACAAGACACACTGACGCAGGAGCCATCCTGACCCAGCTGGATCTGCACCCCGCCCATGACCCTGACCCTGGCTCAGGCAAGGAGGGCAAGGTGAGCCCACAAGCCTGGCCTTCAGGGTAGAGGCACCTGGGGGGACCCTCTGTGCTTGGCCTGACCCTGCCTCCAGGGTATCCAGGGCATACACTGTGTGGCCACAGGGTGCACCTGTCTGAGAGCAGATCTGAGCCATGTCCCCAGCACCCTGGACAGGGCAGGTGATGAAGCAGGCTCAGGAACAGCCATCATCAGTTCAATCAGTCCTTCCCTCTCTCCCACCATCACCCAGTCTCCTGCGGAGCACTTCCGGGCCTTGCTGACCCTGGGGGCACCGTCCCTCCCAGGGTTAGCCAGTTCCTAGAAATAGTAAACAACTCATCCACAAGTGCAATTTTCAAGTGCAAACCAATCAATCCAGAGCGCACAGAGCCACCTCCTTCATCAGGGCTCCTAAATTCCAGGCCACCATCCTCCATCCTAATCACTCCAGGGCCAGTCAGGTACCAGACAACTAGGGGCAGCCCCTATGGCCCAGAGCGCACTGAAATTATTCACAGCAGCCAAACCTAAGCCTGCTTACCTTGCCTTGCCATTCCTTTCTGCAGAAACTGAAGTTCCTGCCGCCCTCTGCTCTCCAACTGATCCTGATGCTTCCCTGTGTGCCCGACAGCCCCCCCCCCCCCCCCCCCGCCACGGTGTGGTGTGGTCCCTCCCTTTGGGATTTGTGAGGAACACACTATCTTGTCAATGGCAATTGTCTTGATCTGTTGGCCCTACTGTACCTCAACTTTTCTACTGACACATTATATTTTAAAACATCATGCTCCTCTCATCCACCCTCCCCAGCCGTCCTCATCATGCTCCCGCCCAATGAGGTCCCCCCGCCTGAAGCACTGGTCCCACGTCTCTCCACCCTTTGAGATTTGGCTGGGGCCGCTGACCAGAAAGCCTCTCTGAGCTCCCGACAGGCCCCTCCCCAACCCGTTCCTCACCACCATGTCATGGCTGCCTCGTCACGTTCGTGGCCAACCCCCACAGACAGCGAGGTCTGATGGAGGCAGAGGGAGCCTGACACATGGATGGATGGATGGATATGAAGCTGAGGTGACTAATCAGCCTAATCCTCAGGTCCGCTGCCCACATCTATGTCCAAGAGCAACGAGCTCACCTCTCCCCTCTCAGCCAAACACGCCTGCCCACAACTCCTGATTCCATGAGAAAGCCGTGTGCCCACTGGCCCTCATCCCTCTCCACTTGATCTCACCAACACATGCACTCTGCACCCTTCACACCCCATTGTGGGAACCCAGGCAGACAATGAAAAAGCCATCCAACTGAGGGGCAGGCAGTGGAGTTGGCTCGTCTGTAGTTTTGTTCCTTCTCCCCAGGTCATCTCTGCGGATGGAATACAGATACATTGTTCCGTCTCTGGGAAATGGTGGGTGTAGGAAACTGTGAGTAAGCAGGGATATAATCCAGTGCTGGAAGCCAAGAGGGGAGAATGCGCTTGGGATGACCCACTGTGGACATGAGGACCCCAGGCAGAGCCTGAGTGCTGTGTGACCCCCTGCCAGGGGTCTTGCAATGGGGGCAGAGAGGGACGGAAAGGGACAGCTGAGCTTGGCAAAGCCCTGGTCCCTGAGATGACCTGCTATTTCTCCAACCTGCCTAGACTTTTCCCCTGCTCCCTTCTGCCTCTCCTCTCTCCTGGGCCCTGTGGCTGTTCTTGCAGGAAAGGGAGAGACAAAGGATGATTGCTTTCCAAATATAAGATTACATTGCAATAAGAAACTCATAGAGGCAGAGGATTCTGATAGGCCCCCCGGGAGGTGCCCTTCCCGTCCTCCTCTCTCCCCCTTCCCATCCTCCTCTCTCCCTTTGCCCCTCCAGCCCCACTCCACACACACACCAGGAATCCCTCACCTAGGTCAGCTTTCTACCTATGCTCCTTGTGCACGAGGGCAGGCTGAGCTAAGCCCCATCTCCACCCCCTCAATCAGCACAAGACTGTTTTTTAATACATAAAATGATGGGGTTTTTACTGGGCTAAATGAACTAAGGGTCCTACCACCAAAAAGAGTGAAAGGTCGTCACTGAGTCAGTGTTTTCTGTGAGAAAGGGTACTTTGGCCACATCTGCCCACCTTCCTCACCAGACCCCACGCCCACCCCCCCCCCCCAGGAGAAGTGGGCCAATCAGCTGGCGGTCAGGCACTCTTTGGCCCACATTTTGTAGTGGTCAGTGGTCCTGTGGGTGAAGACCAGCCACACACACCCCTGGGCGAGCACACTGTGCAGGGTCTGCTCCCACTCCTTCTCTCCACCCAGGGCTGGACTTGGAGGGGCAGACCGGGGAAGGAGGCCATGCTGAGCTAGTCTCATTCATCAGTTTAGCACTTACTGCGCTCCCCACTGGGATTATAGCAAATGTTTTGGGGCCCCGTTCCCTCCCTCGAGCTCCTGTGGGGAGCAGGGCTAGGAGGTCAGTTCTGGCATTACTAAGTCCCTGGAGTATTTCTAACAACATTTCATTTCCAACTTCTGACAGTTCATTAAGGCTAGTGGCACAGCTAAATCACCTGGGGCATCTCCTAAAAATACCGTTTCCCGTGTCTTCTAAGAAACATACGCATGAATGTGCATTAGCAGCACTATTCACAAACACCAAGAGGTGGAAAAAACCCAAGTGTCCATCAAACGATAAACAAATGTGGTCTATCCATACAGTGGAATGTTATTTGGCCCTAAAAAGGAATGAAGCACTGATATCTGCTCCAACACGGATGAACCTTGAAGTTATTATGCTAAGTGAAAAAAGCCAGACACAAAAGGCACATATTATATCATTCCACGTACATGAAATTCCAAAATAAGCAAACCCATAGACAGAGAAAGCAGATTAGTGGTTGCCAGGAGCTGGAGAGAGGAGAGAAATGGGGAGCCACTGCTTAATGCAGTCTCTCTTTGGCGTGATGAAAAGTTTTGGAAACTAGATAGTGGTGATGGTTGCACAACATTATGAAGGTACTAAAAGCCACTGAAAGTGGTTAAAGTGATGAATTTTAAGTTATGTGAACTTTACCATAATTTTACAAATAAAGAACAAAACAATTCTCAGCCCTCATTCCCAATCAAAATCTTCAGGGTGGACCTGGAAATCCATAACTTTAAGAAGCTCTGCCAGGGCTTCTAAAATAAAGCAGAATTTAAGACCTGCGGTGTAGGAACCTCAGGCTCAGGTGGTTTGGGTGCCTTTCTAGGCCTGACTCTGGGGGACATGTGCTGGAGTCCTCTCCTGGGCCTCACTGGGTGCTGCTGTGTCTGCGTGTCTTCCCTGGGCTGAATCCTCCTGGATGAGGCTTAGGCTCACCTGCATAAGCCAGCCCCCTAGCAAGTGCTTGGAGGAGGAGTGGGAGTGCGATTTCATCTGAACCAATGAGAATCAGGCCCGGAGTTTGGGCTGGAAGGAGAAGCCCTTTGTTCTGCTGCTTTGGAAGTAGGAGGTGGGAAGGTGGGAAGAGGGCCTGGGGCAGCAGGCAGGCGCTGGTGGGTGGCCATCCAGCTACCTCCAGGGACAAGTCTGCCCACCAGGGACCAAACACCAAGGCGCCAGAGGATAGAAAGGCCAAGCCTGATGTTGGGCCTGAGGATCCCGTGGTCACCAGAATGTTGGCCAATATTGGCCTCAAGATGAGGTGACCCAGTCACCCATAGTGTGCAGGGGGAGGTGGAAGGCTGCTGGAACCCTGAAACTGGTCCTCAGAGGAGGGGATTCCTGCAGTGGGGCTTGAAGCACATTGAGGAACTCTGAGACACCAGGTTCCCTCCCGTAGAAGAAAGAGTGCACGGGGCAGAAGCTGTGGAGTGTGGGGTTGTTAGAAATGAGGAAGGGGTCCCCTGAGAAGACCCCTGGCCCCACTCCGAGGGCCCTGCAGGGCCTGTCCCTGGAGATCTGTGCATGTCACAGTGCCTGCCCTCTGCCCCAACTCACCTTGCCTGGTGCACACATGGTCCCATCCAGGGGAGGCCCCTTCTTCGTCTTGCAAAAGTAAGGGTTGTCAGGGTGGCTGCACCACAGCTGCTTGCAAGGGTCAAAGGTCCGGAACTAGAAGAGAGCACCAGCAGCTAGCCAGGCCACCTCCCACTTCAGGGGCCCTCCAGGGGTGCCGCCCTGTCGCCCAGGGTCCTCTTGCACTGCTGCAGAGCCAGAAATGACTTGTCCACCCATGACAGGCCTGTGTGGTGCCCTGAGCTCCGTGTGATTCTGGGGCTGTGAGGACCTCGAGCAGACAGTACGGTGCTTCACGTCTTTGCAGGCTGCTCAGCCTCCCCGGCCTCCAGACCTTGGTGGCTGCACCTCTCACGGAGCCTGGACAGAAAGCTGGGCACAAGTGTGCTTGGCATGAAGGCTTGGTGGCCTTCCTCTGGCCCAGGCAGGAGGGGCGGTCATTGCAGGGTCCCATGAGCACCCGCTGTTCACCTGCTGAACACTCCACTGCCTCAATCCCTCCTAAAGCCGTGTCTGGGCCAGCCAGGAGGGCACTGGGTGCCGACTGGGGAAAGAGCAGTGGGTATGGAGGGAGAGGCTGCTGTTTTGGAGGGCTGCTCCACCCTGTGCCAGGGAGCCACCCAACACCAGCCGCCCCCCAGGAAGCCAGGCCGATCTGGGGCAGACTCCCCCCGCCCAGCCCTTGGAGGTGTCGTGGGCTCCGACACTCACCGCGGTACACATCATGTAGCCAAGGCCGAAGTCAAAGCGGCACTGTTCGTTCATGGAGTAGTGCAGCCCCGGGAGCTGGGGCAGCGCTGGCCAGTCGTGGGTGAAGGGGTCATCCCGCAGGCAGTCATAGGAGCTGGGAGGGGACACATGGGTGCCACAAGCTGCCTTCAACAGGACTGGCCATCCAGCCCAGGAGGCAACTGAGGCCCCTCATGGAGCCTCGGGGGTGGGCCTGCCTGCACACCCCAGCCCTAGGCTGTGCTGCCTCAGTTTCCCTGCTGCACCTGTTTTCTTTGGCATAAGCTACCCAGGACCAGGTGTCCATTAAAGGTGCAGCTGTCATGACCACTTTCCATCCAAAACCTAGCCCCCAACAATGGGATACCCCCGTCCCGTACTGCTGTCCCCCTCTCCCCTTCCCTGCACCTCAGGCTGGAGGCGCTGAGACCGGCACTTCGGGTTCGTCTTTGGGAGATACAGGTGGTACTCACTGCAGGTAGCGGCTCAGCTCCTGCTGGCTGCAGCGGGACCAGTGGAAGCGATGGAAGGCTGCCTGCACCAGGGGCGCCATGATGCTGCCCAACCGCACCTCATCACCGCAGCGGTTGCCCTGCCCATCATGCTCCATGCCCAGCCTGTGCGGGAAGACAAGGCAGCATCACTGGACCCTCACCTGGCCGCACTCACCTGTCAGCTCCACCCCACCCTAATGCTCAGAGGGCACCCCTAACCTCCCCGAGCTGCCCCCCCACCTTAGTTGGCTTGGTCTGCCCTGAGCAAGGTGGTACCCATTTGCTACCAGCTAACTTTAAAGTCAGGGGCACTCTGAGGTGACAGCATCCAGCAGCAGCCCCCTCAGGTATCCTGTCCCCAAGGCAGAGCACTGTTACATGAGAATGCGGTGGAGGCAGAGGCAGCCACAGCCCTCTCTACACACCCAGCGGCATGCACACCCAGGCGGAGTAACTTCCCCAACTCCAGCTCTGTGCTCCTGGGGAAGGCTCCCTCAGAGCCTCAGTTACACATCTGTAAAATGGGGTAAGAAGAACCCCACCCTGCCCAGGTGCTTGAATGGCATGATGGGTGGAAAGCCCCCAGCTCCTGCCTGGGGCCTTCAGCAGAAAGTGGCCTCCAGCTCGTCCTGTGCAGCACGGAGACAGGACATCACATCCCAAGGGCTTTTCATACAGGGCCTGTCCCTCTCAGGGCACAGAGGAGAAGCGGGGCCCTTTGAACCCCGACCTTCCTCAGACAACAAGGATGGTGAGTCCACTTACACGTGGCCAGTCTCATGGGCCACCACGAACGCTGAGGAGAAGCCGTCCTCGTGGTTCAGGGTGCAGCTGCGGACGGGGTGGCACATCCCAGTGACAGGAGCATAGCCTGGAAGGGGACAAAGGGTGGCTCCAGGTCCCAGGCTCGGAGTCCTGCCCAAATCTGGGGGCCCTGACCCCAACACCCCCAGAGCGAATGAGCAGAGCCAACTGCCCCCGTGGCTGGCACGGCTCAGGAGAGCACCTGTCCCCTCCCCCAGGGCAGCGGGCCTCGGCCCTGCCCGTCTGTGGCCACACCGCAGCAAGCTCAGTTTCCGGAGCCCAGGTCTCACCTGCTAAGGCTTTCTGCCACCTCCTTCCCGCTATTCCCTTTCAGGCCACCTCCCGCGCTCCTCCCCCCGCTTGGCTGGGTGGCCTTCTGGCCCCTGGGTAGCACATTGTCTCCACACCTGCCCCTGGTGCTGCAGGAACCTTGGCCAGGAACCCTGGCCCCGGTGCCCGGCACCATACCCTGAGCCCACTCCCTCGGGACCTTCCCTGGCTCCCTCGTGGTCCATAGGTCCTTCTCTGGGTCCTCAACTGATGGATTTCCATAGTGCACAGAAGGCTACAGTGAGGGTGGCCCTGAGCTGTTCCGGGGCAGGTCAGGCAAGGATAGCCAAGGTGCTACGCTGCCCTGCTGAGTCATGCAGAGGGGACTGGCTGCGTGGATTGGGGGGCAGACCAGCCACAGACGACGGGGCCCTCGGAGCCCTTGGCCCGGCAACTCTGCACTCTGACTGAGGAGATTATGAGCCACATTCCTGCTGAGGGGTCCAGGGGTCTGTCCCGGGCAAGATGGAGAATGGGGAGGAGCAGCTGCAGCAGGCCAACCCCCGACATGAGATGCCACGGGCCCTCCAGCAGCCCTGTGGGCCCACCCCACCCTTTCAAGGGCTTCTGAAGAGCCACTGAATTCACAGGTAACAGTAAGGAGACACAGTGGGTTTTGCCAGCCCAATTAGAGTGTGTGGTCCAAGGAAGAAGTCGGGAATGGAGCCTGACAGGGAATGAGGGCAGGGCTGAGGAATGAGCCTGAACCACCCAGGCAGGAAGGCCAGGAAGGCCTCCCTGTGGCATGGCTGGTTCGTGGAAGAATGACCCCCCTTGACTAGGCTGAGCCTGATCATGGGGTGTCTTAAGATGTCCCCAGGGAAGCCTTACAAGACAACATTCTCACCCATGGGGATGGGGAGGGTGATGGGAGTACATGATGACCCCACCCAAAATGGAGGAAATCCAGAGAACAGGGCCTAGCCACTTGCCCCTGGACAAGATACAGAAGTACATACAGACCTCTGTGTGCCAGAGGGGGCCTCTGTTTAGAAGCCTGGGTGTCCTAGTGGCCCACCAAGTAAGAAGCCATCCTGTCCTCTGATAAATGGAATATTTATAAATGGAATATTTCCTGCCATATTAATAAACAAAGGATGTCACAGTCACCAATGATTGCAGCCCTCCAACATGAACTGGTGAGGCCTGAGGAAACTCAGGGCTGAAAAGAATACCTGCCATCTAGCAGCCATCAGACTGCAGCCACTCCCTGCTGTGAGCGCTGAGGAAACTCAGGAGGTAAAAATACTGGCCCCAGATAGCTAAGGTGCATATCAAAGGAATGACTTTAGTGAGCCCAGACTCTTGCATCTTCCCATACATAGAAAAACGCTAAATTCCTTACCTTGAGATCTCTGGTTCTCTTTATTTAACAACAATCTTTTGATGTTCCCAATTACCTGCTCTTTGTTGCAAAACTCCTCTATATCCTAGCTCCTCCCCTCGCCTCCTTGGAGCAGTTTCTCAGAGTTTTCTGAAACGCTGTCCTCCCGGGCTGCAGTCCTCATTTTGCCCCCAATAAAACTTAACTCGCAACTCTCACGTTGTGAATATATTCTTTTTTAAGTCAACACCCCCGACTCAGTCTCACTCTTCTGAGACCTCACAGGGAGGTCCCAGGCAACGTGCTCCCAGAGAAAAGCACAGAAGGGAAGGAAGTGTGAGGGGGGAGTGCTGGTTTCAGACTTGTCTGTAAAAGCATCGTATTGTCTTTTTCCCTTCTAATAAACAGGAAAATCTATGTCGTAAAGCATTCTTTGCTCTGTAGATTTTGAGATGATTGTTCTCCAATCAGCGCTAGAGCAAACCTTTGTGGTCTTCTCTTTGTCCTTTGCATGCAAAGCTTGCACATGAATATGTGCCTCAGTATGAGTATTTCTCATTCACCTACATTAGCGTTACATGAACTTTTAGGATCTGAAGACTTGAAAATGTATCTGTATTATTTGCTTTATATCCTTCCCTCTTATTTTATTCTGCTGTTATTTTCTTTTTGGAAATCTTTTTAGATAGATATTGTATTTCCTGGATTGAGCCTCTACATCAACTTTTCTCTCATATTTTAATCTTTTTGGATCCGTTGACTTTTTTTTTTTTTTTTTTTTTTTTTCAGTACGCGGGCCTCTCACTGTTGTGGCGTCTCCCGTTGCGGAGCACAGGTTCCTGACGCGCAGGCTCAGAGGCCATGGCTCACGGGTGCAGCCGCTCCGTGGCATGTGGGATCTTCCCAGACCGGGGCACGAACCCGTGTCCCCTGCATCGGCAGGCGGACTCTCAACCACTGCGCCACCAGGGAAGCCCGATCCGTAGACTTTTTATTTCAGCTTTTGAATTTTCTATTTTACCCACTGAGAAATGGAATATTGCCTGCCACAAAGGATGTCACAGTAATCAGCGATTGCAGCCACCACCGGTGAGCTGGTGAACCCTGAGGCAAAGAATACTTGTCTTCTAGCAGCCATCAGACTTCAGCCAATCCCCACGGTGAGCCCTGAGGAAACTCTGGATATGAAAACACAGGATACTGGCTCCAGATAGCTGAGGTGCATATCAAAGGAATGACTTCAGTGAGCCCAGACTCTTGCATTTTCCCATACACAGAAAAGCAGTAAATGCCTTAACTTGAGGTTTCTAGTATTCTTTAATTAACAGTAATCTTTTGTTCTTATTATCTGCCCTTTGTTGCAAAACTCCTGTGTATCCTAGCTACCCCCTCGCCTCCTCGAAGCAGTTCTCTCAGGGTTACTTGAGATGCTGCCTCCCGGGCTTGAAGTCCGAAAAATTTCTGTGACTCAGCCTTTAGGTTGGGCATTTAATTTTTTAGTCGACACCGTCAAATCTTTAATTTAATGAAAACCCTTTGTTCTCTAATTCTTCCTTGCAACCTGTTCTGGGTTTACAGATGTAGTTCCTCATTCTGGGGATATTACTTTATAAACTGTGCTTTTCCCTTCTTTAAATTATCTGTTTCCTCCGGCGTCAGTTTTATAATTTTATTTTGCATCTTGGTCCATCCTTTTCATCCTATCGTTTTTTTCATGTCTGGTAATCCTTAGCTATCCTTTCACATTTTTAAATGAAGAATGAGGTCACTTAATACAAAGGTTGTATTGGTTTCTCTCCTATGGAACAATTCTGCTCCCTATTAGAGCTCTCACTTGGACCAAGGGCAGACAGGGTGCTCTGTCTGTCAGCTGGCCACACTGGTGTAGGGCTTGAAGGGGAGCTAGCAGCCCCCTCCCAGTGGGGAGGCACCCACACCAACTAGGAGCCGTATTCTGTGCTTGGTGGGATCTGGGGTCACACTCTGTGTTCCCACCTGCTTCCCACTGTGGTGCTGATCTGCATGGCAAAGGGGGCAACAGTAGTGCCTCAGAGGTGTTCTGTTAACATGAACTAATCCTAGCTCTGATCAGGGGTCACTTAAGAAGTCTTTCTATTTACGTGAATATGACAAGTGGTTGGCAGAGAGAAGCTGCAGGTTAAGACAGCAGAGCGGTGCATATGAAATAAGTCATGGAAGAAAGTGCTGGAAGGAATCAGCACCTATATCAGATAAATATGCTTATTTTTATAAAAAGGATCACTGGGGCTTCCCTGATGGCACAGTGGTTCAGAGTCCACCTGCCAATGCAGGACACACAGGTTCGTGCCCCGGTCCGGGAGGATCCCACATGCCGCAGAGCGGCTGGGCCCGTGAGCCATGGCCGCTGGGCCTGCGTGTCCGGAGCCTGTGCTCCGCAACGGGAGAGGCCACAACAGTGAGAGGCCCATGTACCGAAAAAAAAAAAAAAAAAAAAAGATCACTGGAATGATCAACTAGAAACTAATAAAAATGACTATCTGTAGAGGATGGGGGTGAAGTGAAACAGGGTCCACTCCCCTGAATATACATTTTTATATAGGTCGTTAAAGCTCTTTCTTTTGAAGTATAATATACGCCATAAGAATGCACAAATCATAAGGACACAACTAGTGAATTATCACAAAGTGATCACACCTGTGTAGCCACCTCCCTGATGAAGAAATAAAACTGTCCCCACACTGCAGAAGCCTCTTCTTTCTTCCAACAGCGACTCCCTCCCTCCTGACCACTCCTGACTGTTAACACCACAGATTAGTTTTGCTCACTTCCAAACTTGAAATAAATGGAATCATAAGTATATATTCTTCTCTGACTGGCTTATTTCACTCAACATTCACTGCAAGAGATCCATCACGGTGTGGTGTGCAGCCTTGCTATGTGTGAAAATCTTCAACGATGATTGTAGACCTTCAACTTTTTCTTTTCGATCTGTTTTATATAGTTTGAATTTTTAAGTAAAGTTTCTTAACTGTTAAAGATTGAAAATTTATTCAAATTTGTTTTGTGAACGCTGGAGGAAGCAAAAAACTCTGAAACCCAGCCTCAGATCCTGTCTGGGCTGAGGCTGCCAGCCCCAGACTCTGCCCATTTCACTACCTTTGGTCCTCTCTGTCCCTCCCAGAGATGCAGTTTCCTGGGGGAAAGGTCAGAGTTCCTGGTGGTTTGCAAGAGCTAGGAGGTCACTAGCACTTACCCTTCCCCCTCGACACAGGCCCCCTTGCCCAGACACCCTTCCCAGCGCAGGCCAAAGTTGCCAGGGGGCCCTCGCAGGGCCAGGGGCTCACCTTGCATGCCTGAAGGCCCGAAGTCCTGCCGTGTGAGGAATATGGCATGATCATGGTACTCATCGTGGCCGGAGTCTGGCTTCTGCTGGAGGTAGGCCCAGCGGCAAACGTTCTCCAGACTCTGAGAGGGGTTCCCAATCTCAATGAGGCTCAGAGACTGCAGGGGCAGGAGAGACAAACAGAGGGGTTGGCGTCTGGTGGTCCTGATGGGAGCTGAGCAGCCCCCATCTACCGGGGACCTGGGCCAGGTGGCGCTAAGCCCAGTCCGTTCTCAAGACCCCCTCCCACTTGGCTCCATTCTCCTGAGTGGATGGAAAGGCTCCCCGGCCTTTCCACATACCTGCACGAGTTTCCACACAAAGTCACTGCACAATTTCAGGTGAGACGTGGGAGCCAAGCTCTGAGGCCGTCTAAAGCCTCAAAGAGTCCATTCAGCCCACCCCACCTCCAGGGCCCCTGCATCCTATTCAGCCCCTGCTCTGTGCAGGCCCTGGCCAGGAGGCAAATGCAATGAACCTCGGTCACCCTGAAGAGCTTACATTCTGGCAGGCTCCAGGACAGGGGAGACAGAACTCCCAGTATGACTACAAGCCCAGAGACCTGTGCTTTCCCCTTGATAGAAGCTATTTGCAGAAAACGACACAAGGGAGGGAAAAACCTTGCAGCAGATACAGCAAAGGAGCCACATAAGGAACAGGAGCACAGGGATAATTCCCTCAGGATCCATGGACAGGAAGCCACTGGGAGCAACCACAGTCCATTTTGTGTCATGACACATACCTACTAGCCAAGGCTGGCTGCTAAACTGGCAGCACTGCAGCCTGATCTGCACCATGGCATTGGCATTCACTCTCTCATTCAGTCTTCACAACCACAACTACTGAGCCTGCACTCTAGAGCCTGAGAGAAGAGGCAAGAAACTGAGACTCAGAGAGGTCAAGTAACTTGCCCCAGGTCACACAGCTAGGAAGCCTGAAACCAAAGTTTATATTCAATCCACTGCCCTAAACTTCCTCCACAAATGAAACATACACTGTGTCATCTCAAAATCAAGTCTCCTATAAGCTGCACTCATCCCTTTTCTCTCCACAATCCTCACAGCAGACACTCCAGTTTCTGCTCTCACCACATACTCCCACCATCAAAGTGGTTCCCTCTAGGCAGAGAGTACTGGGCACGTTCTTTTCCACTTTAAGGATACATCTGTCCATAAAGTAGAACTATGCATTCTTTGGTAGACATGTAAGCAGATGTTTTGTCTCTTCTCTTGCATAAATATATCCATCAAGCAGAGCCACATATTTCTCTTTTTGTGTATAAGTAGCAGAGAATAAGATATAGGGTATTGTTAGTAAGCCAGCATGTTGCAGAAGAAGGAAGAACGATTCAAGGCCAGGGAGGACTAGTCATTGCCAGGCATCTCGTGAGTTACCCAAGTCAATGGCTTAAAAGATGGCAGACCAGTTCCCAAGTCCTAAGCACAGAGCCAATTGCTCCTGAGAGATGAGATTACTTGTTTTAATAAGATATAGTTGAGGGGCTTCCCTGGTGGCACAGTGGTTAAGAATCCGCCTGCCAATGCAGGGGACACAGGTTTGAGCCCTAGTCTGGGAAGATTCCACATGCCGCAGAGCAACTAAGCCTGTGCACCACAACTACTGAGCCTGCACTCTAGAGCCTGAGAGCCACAACTACTGAGCCTGCGTGCCACAACTACTGAAGCCCACGCACCTACAGCCCATGCCCTGCAACAAGAGAAGCCACCGCAATGAGAAGCCCGTATGCCTCAACGAAGAGTAGCCCCTGCTCACCGCAACTAGAGAAAGCCCGCGCACAGCAACAAAGACCCAACGCAGCCAAAAATAAATAAAATAAAATAAATAAATTTTTTTTAAAAAGAAAAAAAAAAAGATGTAGTTGAGTCCTAATGAAGTCAGTCATAGACTGGAGCAAGAGGTCTGGTGGCCAGGACCTGTTAGACATTGGCACAGAGGTGGACAGCCCAGAGGATGCTGGAAAAGGGGAAGGGAGGTACACTCCTGCCCCCCTTGTGATTCGGAGAAGCATGTGACGAGCTCTGGCCAATTAGCTGTGAGTAAAACTGACGTGTGTCTCTTCCCGGTCCAAGCACTTAATTGCCCACATGAGCGCCTCCAGAGATCTCTCCTTGTTGGCATGTGAACCAGCATGTTGAGATGGTAGCTGCTCTGTCACCTAAGCCTTGAGTGACAATGAGACCAGAGTCCTCTGCCAATTCACAATGAACATACAAGTGTGAGGGGGAAATCAATCTTTGTTGTTGTAAACTGCGGGGACATGGAGCTTGTTTGTTCCTGCAGCACAGCACGGCCCACCCCGCCTGACACAGAAGGGGCAGGGGAAGGGGACGTGGCATCTATATCTCATCCCAGCAGGCCAGCTCAAGACCCTGCCAGGTGATCACTGTCTCCAGAAAACCTTGAGAGGCCACAGCTCTGGAGGAGGAAGTGAGTGAAAGACTCTCCTTTCTAGGGAAGGACCTTTGGGTGGAATGAGAAGGAAGGGACCCTCATGGGTGGATCTGATTTGGTGCTTGAGTATGGACCCCACTGGGCTTCAGAGTGCCAGCCCAAGTCCCGATCAGAGGGTGATCACAAAGGCCACTGATGACCACTTGGTCAAGGATGGCCGCAGAGCCCCCACTGGAGCGGGACACCCCCGGCTCCACAAAGCCCCAAACCAGTTCAGAGCCTTGTTAGTCCATCTCCAACAAAAGGGCCTTGTTTCCCTCAGGGCCATGTCTCTCAGCCCAAACATCAGGGGATTGTTCCCCTGGTAGATTGCAGCTACTTTTGCCTGGGTTCTTCTGACAACAGCAGCCCCGTCCCCCTTTGGTAAAATATCCTCTCTGTTAATCTGGGTCTGACCCTAGGCTCAGGGGTGGGAGGGCTCAGGCCCAGCCAACCCCACCCTGCACCTTCCCAGCAAAGGATGGTTGGGGCCAAGGGGTTGGAAAGGTGTGAGACTGCGAGCCTGGAGCTGCCACTAGGGGAGGAGACCCCAGGGGAGGAAGAAGCCAGCATAGATAGAGCAGGGCCTGGGGTGGAGAGAGGTCAATTCCTGGTATCTTCACACAACCACCTGGCTCCCCCCAGGCCTGAGGCCAGCCTACCCCAGGCCTGTTTGTTATCTATTGCCACAAAATGAGTTACTTCCAAACTTTATGGTCTGAAAAACCTCAAACACTTATCTCATGGCTTCTGGGTTAGGAATCCAAAGGCAATCTAGCGGGGTCTTCTGGCTCAAGGTCTCCCATGAGAGTGCTGGCAGCTGAGACTGGGGCTGCAATCTCATCCGAAGGCTCCCCTGGGGAAGACCCACTCCCACACTCACTCACGTGGTTACTGGCAGGATCCAGTTCCTCACGGGCACATGGACCTCACCACAGAGCAGTCACACGGGACAGCTTGCTCCCCCCAGCACGAGTGACCCAAGAGATAGCATTGATAGGGCACATCCACGACAGAAGTCTCAGTCCATTTAGATGCGAATCTCAGTCCCACCCAAACCCACAGGGAGGGGACCACACCGGGGAGTGAATACCAAGATGTGGGCTCACCAGGGGCCATTCCAGAAGCTGTCTGCAGCAGATATGTGTCTCATATATTGTGTGTCAGGAAATTCCTCCCATGAAAGTCAATTTGAGTTGTGGTGTTGTCACTTGCAGCTGAAAGAGCATGAGCAGGGGACTTCCTCCTTGGAGAATCATGGGAAGCTCAGTCAAGGGCACTGGCTGGCAAAGGAAAGCCAGTGGCTGTTCTCCAGGGTCCAGCTGGTATGTCCAACACCAGTGGGAGAGAAGCTCTGGTCACATCTCTGACAAGGAGTCAAGAGCCCAGTCAGAAAGACACACTGTGTCAGGGCCAGAGAGCAGAAATAAGGCCATGGAGTTGGGGACAGAGGCAAAGGCTGAAACAGGGTGAGAACAAACAAGCTGGGGGCTCAGAGAGAGGTCTGACTGCTCAGCGGGTGGGCTCGTGGGAAGTGCTGGGTGGGCGTTGCAAACCCAAATGCCCACAGGCCAAGGCCGGTGATGTAAGTCAGTGAGGCAGCTCGGTCCTAAGGAAAAACGAGTCTGTCTTTCATTTGCCAGTTCAGAAGGGGTAAGGTTACAGAAGAGTATTTCCCTGTTATGGTAAAGAAGTTGGGGGGATAAGGAGTGGCGAGGACTGTGGCCAACCAAGGAGCCTACGCCCAGCTGAAGGGGCAACAACACTCAGCGCCAGCCCCATAGGCATGGCATGCAATGGACAGAGCCCAGGGCTGCCAGATCTGACTACTCAGGCCAATGTTCACATTTTACAAAGAAGCGTACCTCCTGGAAAACACGGACTCAAGTTAAAATAAGTTCTGTGGACAAAAGAAAACACATCTCTCAGGTCACCAGGTTGAGAACCCTGGAGAAAAGGCCTTAGCAGGTTGGACCCGACACTGGCACACTGGCGAGCGCCTCTTGCCTCCCAGACACCAGGCTCCTGGGTTCAGCCCAGGTTCCCAGCCCCTCTCAGCAGCCACCGTGATCTCACTGCTGCGGCAGGATAGGATAATTGATTGAAATATTGATTCGCATTTTGTTCTTGCCTCGTCTCCCTTCCTCCACTCCAAGAAACAGCCTGCCACTTCCGTTCTCCAGCCCCATGGGGGTTTGCATTGCAGGGTCCAGAGCAGAAGTTGTCTGGGACCCCCTCCTGGCTTTTGGGTTCTGAGGAGACTCCCCAAGAGAAGGGGCAGAGAGAAGGGCTTGGAGGGGCTACACCAGGACGAGGTGGCCCTGGGGAGGCAGGTCACAGAAAACAATGGCCATGCGCTGGGCCCTGGGAACCTGCAGCCGAGACAGGACCCTGAGACATGGAGGAGGAGGGTGATGTCAGTGTTCCGGCATCCAAGGTGCAGAGCTGCTGTACTTCCTATGTCTCTGCTCATGTCCCAACTTTCTCAAGGATCTGACCCATCTCAGATGGCCACCAAGGAGCTAAGGGCTGGGATCCTCATAGGGTCTGGAGAGTTCAGGAGGGTGCAGTGTGCCTTGTGCTCTGTGGCAGGTGCCAGATGCATGTGCATTTTAGAAAGAGCTCTCTGAGTCAGTGAGGAGGGAGGGGGGAGGGGAGGGGGACATTT